GGAATCAACACGAATGACAGTGGCAGTCATTTACACAAACCCACAAGGACAGCACGAGGCCAAGCGCCCATCTACCACGGGTCTGCGCACATGCCTGTCCATGATTCTCGAAGTCCCTGAAGAACAAAAATGGCCATGACCACCTTTGACCCTTCCGTTCTTCTATCTTTATTCCTCACATATTGTTTCACTTTTCTTCCTCCTCTATTCTCCATGTTTATATTCATTTAATAAAAATGGGTTAGAGAACCACTTTATCTGCTTATGGCCCATATTAACCCCTTGGTGGAGGCGCATCGGGGCAGTCTGCATCTCAACTAAGGTCACTTCTGCTCCTGCAGCCAGCGGGCGGCGCAGCTGGGGCTGACTCAAGTGTCTGTTGCTTGGCGCTGGCTCTAGGCGGATCCCCATCTCTTCAGCAAGCGAGCCCAGCTGCCTTCATATGGTGGAGGAAGAGTTCCCAACAGCAAGACGCTTTTCATGAGTCCATGTAGGGGAGGACTGCACGAAGGACCACAAGGACAATGAGTTACTCATCACTTACTGAGGGCTGTGACTGTCATCGACCACACACGATACTCAAGACTCGAGACAGCATTCCTACCACGGACCTACTCTTCTTCACGAGTTGTTAACCCTCCGTTCTTTAGACCAGGCATTTTCCACAGGGTATTAAGAAATCTGGTAGGGAGTATCTATAAAATAATCATTGATTTCCCTCCCACACATATTTCTTGCCTCTATCTTACTCTATCTTAAGCTGTCTTAAGAGACAGATCATTCCTCAGAGAACAGAAGTTACACAAGAATATGAGGAATAACAGAGCTGTTTGTTGCCTATGAGTTTTAACATTCAGTTTTGTAAGAAACAAAAACAATTCATGGCATGAAGATTTAGGTGGGAATCTCATGGGGAAAGCCCAGAACAATGAGGTGTACAGGACATGTGCACCACTTCCTGCATAGAAAACAAGAGGAATCAAGAAGCCCTCACAGAACAGCGAACTCGCATCTCTAAGACAGAGCCTGGTAGAGTCACACAGAACTTCCTGCACCTCAACACAGAACAGATCAGGGAAAACCGTTCCCATCAGTCTCACAATGGAAGAGAAGGAATAACGCCACTGGATGTGATGAGACAGGTCTCAGCAACAGTGTACAGGCCAGCTCCCCAGGACCAGGCAGCAACTAGGACAGCTCAGCAGGCACCCAGGGTACTCAGACAACACAGAGGGCCAGGTAAGCGTCATTCCACATCCCACCACCTCCTAACTTCTTGGCAGTAGAAGACTCCAAAACACACATACACTCATGGAGAAAATGGAGAGGTCTTGCATTGCTACCAATTTGGGAACAAAGAATTAAGCTGTAAATCAAGTGAGTGATTTAAAATTATATATCAGTCCCCATCTTACATAAATCAGTTCGTAGACACACTGGCAGCAGTATATAGGATACGTGGTCCCCGCATTGTTTTCCTAGACAGTGTTCCGCGGTCAAATACGTTTGGGAAATGCTGTCTTTTCCTTTAGGACATCAAAGTGCCCATTAACATATTAATGTCTTAGAGAAAACCCAGAGTAAAGACACCTGCTATTTCCCCACTGATTTGACCTGGGAGAGCCTTTTGGAGAAACTGCTGACCAACGATCCTGGGAAGACATACTACTAAGCATTCCTCTCAATTTATCTTCAGTCATAATTTTACTTTTTCACTCACCTACTCAAAAAACCTTCACTGAGTTTCAATGGATCTTTAGATTTGGTTTTCAGAAACATTTCTTTTTTAAGAGCCTCCGCAATGCAACCTGCCCTAGTCATCAGTTGTCACTGTTTCCCTGTGTGGCTCCTTTCCTTCAGTTACGTCACACTCTTCACTCTCATTCAACAAATCCAAATTCCTGTGGTAAATGACTATATTTTGCGTTAGTTTTATATTACTTTCAGTGGTTGGCTAAATGTCTACCCCTAAAACTGAACATGTGCACTTTTCTGGGAGTAGAAACTTTACATACATTGGAAATGACTGCAAATTTAAAACTAAAGATGCAGAACGCAGCACACATGGGACTTCAGTGGGTGGCAGTAAGACATCAGTTTGACTAAGTTAGTTTGTTAGAGAGCACGTCACAGTGTTCACTATTCACAAGTCCTAGGACGTACTATGTCTATTCATCATGTAAAAAATGTGGTATTGGTGCGATGTATTTGGGAAGAATTGCATGCGTCTGTGAAATTTCTTTTAAATAGGGACAAAAAAAATGGCTGGACAATACACTTGTCACTTGTTGAGCCAAGAAAGATATGCAAAAGTCCCTCAAATATGAAAAGGAGACAGAAATCATAGTAGGTAAAGAAAAGCTGAAATTCAACTAATTTGTCCAATGCAACTCCTACAGGATATTCTTGCCATGGGAAAATAGTTAATAAACCTTTGTTTCACCTTCAGGATACTCAAGCACAATACATCCTTGAAAAAGTCAATTTACTAACTTTATGAAAGATGCTACAAACTGATAAACTGTAAAACGACCAAACTGTCTAATCTAGAATGCAGATAAGGCAATTAGGTTTTCTGATAGTGGTCTTTATCACTGCTCTTAAGATCTGTGTAATCATCCGTCAACCTGTACTTAGTGGTGTAGTTAAGGTTAAACATTTTAAAAATTGTATTCCAGAAAGAAAGCTATTGATAGGCTATCTTTATTTGAGAAAATTGATTTTCTCGGTCATTAATTACTGTGATATGCTGAAAGGCATATATAAACGTGTATGTATATATTCCATTGAATATATTTATGTTATAAAATATATATTATACATAAATTTATATATGTTTACACACTCAACTTTTTATTCCATAAAAGCAACATGTAAGATTTTGGGGGATAGAGTATGTAGTTGTACAAAAAGCCGTCTTTTTCCAGAAAACATTAGGCGATTTCTTTCCTGTTTCTCTGTAACTCCTTCTATTCTGGCCAAATGAGCCACTATGGAATCTAAAGATCTGTAATGAATGGTGACTCTATTTTTCACTTTTACGCTTTTCATGCCCGCAGCATAATTGGTGGTAGGAAGAAACTGATTTCTCTTCGGCCCTAGACCTAAATGTCAGTAGTCATTCGGTTGGTTTAGCCTTTCCAAAGAACAAAACCATTCCTTCGTCACGTGAAAGAAACACTAGTAAACAAAATTATCAAAAGAGAGATATGATTCTCTAAAATGGAAAAAGAAACTACTTTGTGAGAATGGG